GGTGGGGGTGTGTGCGGGCGGGAGGGGGCTGGGGGTCGCCTCCGCCCGTGCGCCCCGGACCCCCTGCCACTGTCTCGGCCCCTGCCGCCTCTCTCCAACCCAGCTCCCCTCCGCACTCTCTCGCTCCCGCAGTTCGCACTCAGCCCGGCGTCCCGCTTGCCCACTCTCGCTCGCTCCCTCTCGCCCTCTCTCCCCCCCAGCCTAGCACACAAACAAGATGGCGGCTGTTGTTTCTTCCCTCTGCCGAATCCTCCTTACAGGCTAGCGGTAGCAGCGGCGGCCGGAAATGAGCCAAGGGGGGGTGAAAAAAAGAGGAGGGGCTGGGCCTCCGGAGGGAGGCGGTGAGGGGGCGGTGCCTAGGCCTGAGCCGCTCACACAATGGGGGAAGAGGAGCCGGGGGCGGGGCCGTCTCCCATCACGGGATCCGCCCAGGGCCCCAACGCGGTTGGCGCTTCCGCAAACTCCCCCGGCGTCACCCGGTGGCTCCCTTTAAAGGGGAGGACTGTAAGGGGGGGTCGGGGGCGGACTCTGAAGCTATTTTCGGTCGGTGGACAGTTACGGGGGAAGGTGCCTGGGTTGGGTCTCTGCCTGGGTAGGGAACCGGTGAGAACCTGGGTGACGGAGCCCAGGAGCTGCGCTGAGGAAGGCGCCAAGTCACCGCGCAGGTGGCCGAGTGGGAGCGCCGGTGCACTGCTCTGCTCCCGGGACCCCTGGGCGGCTGATCTTCCAAACCCTTGTCGAATTCACCTGGCAGGGTGTACCCACTGCCCGCTGTTCTGGGCCAGAAACCCAGTGCGTCCTCACTCGCCTTCCTAGAGGAAGCATTTTCACACCCCCAAAATCACGTAGATTACGAGTTGTTTTAATTTTCTTTGAATTTTCCAGTGTTTTTGGACGAGCGTATATTACTTTGATGAACAGAAAACAAAAATCATTCCTGTAATCCCAGCACTTTAGGAGGTCAACGCTGTAGGATCGCTTGAGCCCAGGAGTTGGAGACCAGCCTGGGCAACATAACGAGACCTGGTCTCTAAAAAAAAAAAACACACACACACACAAAAATCAGAGCAAGTTGTTTTAGGACGAGACCCAAATTCATTTATTGCCCACCACTGGCCCACACGCCTCTGCTAATAACACTCTTACCAGAGGAGCCTTGAAATAATTTTAACAACCACCTCTAGGACTTGAAGACATTTTTAGGGTATTTTAAAAAATCCATGACCAGACGCGGTGGCTCACGCTTTGGGAGGCCGAGGTGAGAGGATTGCCTGAGCCCAGGGTTCGAGACCAGGCTGGGCAACTTGGTGAGACCTCATCTCTATAATAAATCAAAAAATTAGCCAGGCATGGTGGCGACTGCCTGTAGTTCCAGCTACTTGGAAGGCGGAAGGAACACCTGAGCCCAGCAGGTCAAGGCTGCGGCAGCCGGCAGTGTGCCTCTGTACTCTGGCCTGGGTGACAGAGTAAGACTCCAACTCAAAAAAAAAAAACAAAAATTCCAGCCGGACTCGGTGGCTCAGCCTGTAATCCCATGCCTTTGGGAGGCTAAGGTGAGTGGATTGCCTGAGCCCGCGGGTTCAACCTGCCTGGGCAACTTGGCGAGACCTCATCTCTACAATAAATAAAAAATGAGCCGGGCGTGGTAGCGCGAGCCTGTAGTTCCAGCTACTTGGAAGGCTGGGGCGGAAGGATCGCCAGAGTCCAGCAGGTC